TGCTTTACAGGCCGCAAAATATCACCTGTCATAAATGGTTGCACCACCACCCACATGGTCATATGACCACATGCTGGGTGCTTGGCAACCAGTCACCTTTATAACTGATCATGGTCACATGAACTGGAAGCCAGCAAAAATCACCCATTCAGATGAATGGATTCACACTTACAACTGCCACAATCACTTAACCACCATGGCATTTACTTAATGTCAATCACAAAAAAGCTTGTAAAATCACTTCCAGTCATATGGATGCCTTGTTTTCTGACCATAATGGTTTATGACCATATTCCCAGTCTCAATTGTGATTGTAAGTAGAGGACTACTTGTAATGCTTTTCAACATGTGTCCAGCCACATATGTATATATGTTTGAGAGGCAGTTTGTTGTAGTGGTTGACGCTAGAAACCAGGAGACTGAGAGTTTTAGTCCCACCTTAGGTACAAAGCCAGCTGGATGGCCTTAGCCCAGTCACTCTCTTTCAGCCCTAAGAAGATAGCAATGGACAACCACTTTCAAAATCTTGCCAAGAAAACTGCAGGGACTAGTCCAGGCAGTCGTTAAGAGTCAACAATGACTCAAAGGCCCAAAAAAGTATTTGTAAGCTGATATCTTAAGTAAAGAAAATATGTGCAAGACTAATTGTATATGCCTCTCACAGATCCTCCGGCTTGACACACATATTCTGAGGACCTTTTCCCTCCACCATACTTGAGTGGAAAATATTATATTGGCATGAAATCTATTATTGTTGCAAATTCTTATTCCAATATTGCCTATCTATAGGAAGCCTCAAAAGTCATTTTGGGTAATGATCTAAAATATCTTCTCCAAATTTTAATTATGCACTCCATCCCCAAAACTGTAAGGATCCTTATATGTTAGAACAGAGGTCCCCAACCTATGGGCTGTGGCCCACTACTGGGCCATGGTCTCTTGGCCACCAGGCCGCATGGGTGGCTGGTCAGTGCATGTGTGCACGCTCAACCCGCCTTTGTGGCGGTGCTAGCTAAGTCACGAGCTGTGAGGGTCTCGCTGGCGCTAGCCGAGCCATGAGCCACGAGTCTCTTGTTGGTACTAGCCGAGCCGCAAACCACACGCCAGCACTAGCTGAGTTGTGAGCCATGCACTCGCGCTAACCGAGCCGCGAGCTACATGCTGGCACTAGCAGCCCCATTTGCAGAGCACGCGTGGGCCCTGTTCGTGCCCACGCACATGCAGCCACATTTGCCTATGTATGAATGTGCACATAAAGGTGCCTGTCCCTCTGTTTCCCACCGGGCCACCAATCCACAAAGGTTGGCGACTCCTGTGTTAGAACATCTATAGGGTTGGTAATTTGTTCTTTTGGAGATTCTCTTAATGGGAGAACCAATATACCTATTTATATAAATAAGGAAAATCGTAGCAATCTTTTAGAAAAGCTATGATTAAAAGAAATAAATGGAATGTAATGTGATTGATACATGTTTAAAATATTAAGTTTGAAATATATGACTATAATAACTTTAATTATGTAGATTATTTGAAATGATTTATTATTTAAATTAACCACATTTAACCAGGTAGGTTATGCAAACCCAGGTATGTAGCATTAGGAGATTGGCCTGGAGGCAAGCGACAAATGTTTGCTTGTTACAATTTTGCAATACAAACCCCATTTTTTATATAGGACTGCCAGTCCTCAGCTTACAACCATTCATTTAGCATTCATTCAAAGTTACAATGGCATTGAAAAAAGTGACTTAGAACTGGGGTTCTTGCACTTATGACTGTCGCAATAACCCCATGATCATGTAATCAGAATTTGTGTACTTAGAAACGGGACGTGTATTTATGACAGTTGCAGCACCTCAAGGTCATGTGACCGCCATTTATGACCCTCCCAGTTTCTGACAAGCAAAGTCAATGGGGGAAGCTGGATTTGCTTAACGACCACAGTGATTTCAGTTACTGCCATGCTTAGCAGTGGAAATATGATCCCAATTGTAGTCATAGGTTGAGGATTATCTCCACAATGTTGGGATGCAAGTATAAAAGGTGGGAAATTGCAATTGATGTAATAGTCCACTTTTCCTCATTTTTGCTTCATTTTCCTTAGCAATGGACTCCAGTGCTGGGTGGGTTATGTGCTATGCAAAATCCCAACAACTGGATCAAGTAAATCAAGTTTAAGAATATTGCGAAAATAGCATGAGCCATCCAGTATTTTTAAACATGATTTTTTTTGAACAAGCCATTGCAAACCGAATTGCACATAACATTAAAGCCAAAACGCTTGTTATGCTGAAAGCAACTCAGCCACTTTAATTGAATTATATTTGAATCCAGGTCTTCCCCAAGATGGGAATTGTCATTTTTTCAAAATTACTTTATGTATATGTACAAAAAAACCACATCTTTGATGTTGAAGGACAAGTCTTCATCTTGGTTCAGTCCAAGCCGGGAATAAACAACATGGCAACTGCTTTAGAAAGAAGGTTGCAATTTACTGAAGAGGAGAGCCAGACAGAAAGATGGCTCTGGAAAAAGAGAAAGAGAGAGAGAGCACATGCAGGAAGTGGGATTTTATACCCTCTGGGGCTCTTGAGGTTGTTTCCTGTTCCTATTTGAGGCTTTGTATTTCCTGTGTCATATACTTTTGACCTGAGTCTGAGTGTGCCCCTTTGGCATCTGTGGGTTAATCCTATTATGTCCTGTCTTAGAGTTTGAGTGAAGTATGTAGATTTTAGGTGTCTTTGTCTTCCTAAAACTCTAGCTGGGGACCTCCAACCTTCCTGAATGGATTATTTACATCTGCATTTCTACAGAGCTGGTTTCTGCTTGGGGGAGGGAGACTTGGGGCTATTAAGAAAAAACTGGGCATGCTTTTCTGCCTCTTTAAGATCCTTGGAGGAAATATAATATTCTGCCCTTTTAATATTTCCTTCTTTGGGGAGGGGGGGTGACTTCCCACATTGATTTAAAATGGGACTCCTGTGTCCAGTGCTTTTTTTCTTAAAAAAAAAAAGTGCCAGAACTCACACACATCATACAACCCTCCTTGCTTACCCTACAAGGTTCCATCCCAAAAAGGTGCCTGAACTCCGTTCTGGGCGTTCTATGAGAAAAAAAGCCCTGCCTGTGCCCATTTATTTTACAATAAATGTCATAAAAATTATTGAACTTAGATCAGAATAAACATATAGAGAATGGGATAATTTCTAAATGCAGGAAGTGTTGTCTATGCACAGTATATTCAGCCGAGATTCCGGAGATTGAGAAATCTTTTTGTTTCTAAATATTTAAGGCTTCTTTCTTAGTATTGCAAACAAACAAGCAAATCTGGGGATGAGCCGGGCAACCCCTAGACGAGCTTCGGAGACGAGGAACCTTTCAGCCGACAGAGGGAGTCGCAGAAAGAGGCACCCTCGTGCTCCGGGCTCAGAGGAGGAGGAGGAGGAGGAGAAGGAAGTAGAATTGTTGAGCTGATACAAGGGCGAGGCTGGGAACCGGGAGACGCCGCAGCCATGGAGGAGTTTAATCCCCGTAACGACGAGGTAGTGCAGTTCTTCTTTCCCGCGCTGGTCAGCCGGAACCTCCGAAATCCCGCTTCTCTCGGGGTAGATCTTGCTCGATCGTGGACTGAAAGGCCACTGAGGAGCACAAGGCAGGCTTTCCCAAGTCCCGCCAGGCGGGCTGCGAGGCAGGCTCGCGTCACCTCCCTTCGGAGAAAGATGAGAGATCTCCCGGCATAACAAGACCGGTCGAGCTTTTCAGGCCCGCTCGTTCTTGAAGCTTTGGGCAGCCCCATGTATCTCCCTAAAGCCGCTTGACGGATGGAATGTATACTTTAAAAATATATATATAAGGGCAGTCGATGCAGCTAAGTCGGAGCAGTGAGACTTTATATTTAAGAGCAAGCGACAGCCGTAAAGGACATACAGTGTGTGCGTGTGCGCGCGCATGTGGTGACTTTTCTTTCGGGGATGGAGAGGATGCATCAGCATTTTAATTTGTCTATGGAGGGAATTACTTCTTTGAATTCTCAGTTGTCCACTAAACCATTTTTCCAGGTAGAGAGTTAAGAAAAAGTCTCACTTGCTCTGCTTTGCCTTGCTTCGTTATATGTGTATGTGGCATCATTCAGAAATGCTGCCACGTGTATTTCTTCCTTTGCCCTGTATATACACAGATTTGGATTTAGGTATTATGCTAAGCTGTAATTTGCTTCATAATGGTTTATTGAGAAGACTACAATTGACTGCCTTCATATAATGTACTAAGACATAAGCCTTTGTTTACAAAGCGAATTGATTATATTTTAGCATTTCATATGACCCAGTTCAGTGGGAAACAAAGCAAGCTTGATTCTGCTGTTCATTTCTATTTTAAAACGCTGGATTTTAAAATTTCTTTTAAATAAATTTCTTAGATTTGAAACACTACCATGACTTTCTCATCAATCCCTTGCAGTGCTACAAATGCAACATTAATGAATTCTTGTGGTTCTTATTAGTGAATTAGTGGCTCACAAACAGATCTTTGATGTTAAGGAGTTGTACTGAATATGGATGCTACATGTTGCTTTCTGGAGCATCTTTTTCTCTCTAGATCTAAAGCGCTGCACATGTATTATTCTCTAGGATAATATACAAGTTTTAGTTTCTGATTTTTCAAGATAGACATAGTGAAATTAAAAACCCAGTTAAACAATATATTTGAAACTGCGTTTTAGTAGTATTATACATATTTGTTAGATATAATAACTTGGTTATAGTATGTGATATTATGCTTGGTTATATATGTATTAACTTCATAAATTAATATTACCAGTATGAATGAATATTATGACTATTTTGCATTTGAAAGAGTTGTATGTTTTTTTAAGTGTCCTTTATATTTTTGTATTCTGAATTACTTGATATACTGTACTGTTTATTTAGTTTAAATTTGTATACATTGCTGTGCACTCAAATTGGATGAATTTTGGTAAAATGTTAATAAAATATCTTTGTATATTTTGATATTATAATTACAGATGATCTTTAACACTGAAGAAGCCCACAATATTATTAAAGATGTGAGTTATACATTTATGTTTTGATAATAAAATACACTTTTGGTATGTTTTCTTTCAATCTCTATTAAAAATAGAAATGATAGATATCTCTTACAGACTTGGGCTATAGCCCTATATGCATTCCATTTGGTGTATCATCAAATTTTTGGAAATAAATATAGATAGATATGGTGATAGCCATACTTTGCATTCAGATTTAATAGATGTTTCAGGTTTTAAACATTTTAATATCAAGACAATGGACTGAATTTTAAATGTCTATGAGTGGAACCTGAACATCAGAGGATACACACTAGCAGAAAGTTATTTCTGCCAATTCTATTTCCTGCACCTTGCTATACTCTCAGACTAAGATATAATTGGATGTGGGTGATATCCTACCTGGGAGTATCAAGAATGGGAGTGCTTGAATGTGAGGAGAAAGGTGAATTGGTGACAATTGGTGTTTAACCATTTAATTTGCAGAATTGTGTGGTAGATTGGAGATCTTTCTTTGATTGGAAGGCGTCCTTTCAGTCAGGAGAAGGCTGTTTAGGATCTGAACCAATTATGATCAGCATTATACAGCAACAAGTGTTCTGTTGAATTCTTTATTGGTAGTAATATGCATACTTAATTGTTTTGTAAAGATGGCAAACCGTGTTTCTGGTATTGCAATGTAGCCTTTTCTTGTGTTTAACTAGAAAACTGAATCTGTATCATATGATGTTTACAAGTGTGCCAGAGCAGCCCAGCATTGTGAAAACAAGATGCTGCTTTTATTTGTTGCATTAATATGTAAATTCAACACAATGATATATTTTAGACGTGTTGAGATAACTCAGATTATTGACTGATTGCTTTTGTAATTAATATCTCATAATTTCTAGTCTAGACTTTAGAAATTTGAGTTATTTTCCATTCATTATATGAAATATTTACATTTATATTTCTATAAAAGTCTTTTACTTGTTCTTTTAGTGTTTCTTTTTTATATATGTTTGTTTCATCATAGAGAATAAAATACAGTGTTTTCTTTTTTTTTCAGTGCATAGAAGGTGTTCTGGGCAAGGCAGATTATAACCATGACAATGTGAATAAATGGACTGCAGCTGTAGTAGAACAGTCTCTAACAAATCTAGTAAAACTGGGAAAAACATATAAGTATATTGGTAAGACTCATTGTGAATATACAATACAGTACTCTGGGTGAAAAGTAAAAACCATATACTAATAGCTTCTCCTAAAGCAGTTTTCTTCTACCTGAATCTCTCCAGGTATATTGAAACTTCAACTCTATAATCAAGAAGACATATTTAAAGTGATGTGGGATTAGGATTTAACTCTCATTTACCATCAAGCAGAAACAAATATAAAAGGAGCAGGACAAACACAAAGAAAGAGCTTTGCTAATCTTTTTGGGCCAATATTACGAAATTAAGGGATTACAGGGTTGTAAAAAAGGAGAGTTTTTTTAAATTATGTTACAGAGTAGAATATTATAAAGAAGAAGCATGTCCAGATATCCCCAGTGAATATCTGTAATAGAGCTATAGAAAACCCAATTTTTGTGTAGCTGTCTCAAATCTGGTATTATCTTGTATTATCTAGTTTTGTTGGACTAAACAAGTATTCATAGCCAATGGTGTCATATTTTTAGATATGCTTAGATGCTGTGCCTTTTAAGTGCAATAGTGATTATTTTGCAGAAAATTAAAAGTACCAGAAAGAATTCTTTGCTGAAGGGAAAGTTAGCCAGTTTCATCCTCAAAAATATATACATTGGGTTAATTAAAATCTCTAGAATTGATAGTGGAAAGATTTTTTTTAAGGAGAAGAAGAAATGAATCTCAATTTTTCTGAAAAAAGAAAAACTTGTTGCATAATTGGAATAATTAGTTGTTGGGAAAAAGTGGAAGATTTTCATGTATGCTTTGCTACTGTAATGATGGAAGCTTTTCTTCTAGTTGGGTTTTATCTCCAACTCCAATGAAATCTTCATTAGGAAAGTCTGCAAGTTTGAATAATTCATCAGTTTTTTGTTTTATTAATTAATGCTGAATTTTTGCTCCATCCATTAGTGACCTGTGCTGTGATGCAGAAGTGTGGGGCTGGTCTGCATACTGCAAGCTCATGTTTTTGGGATACCACAACTGATGGTAACTATCAAGCTGCAGCAAATAAAAAGCATCACTTAAATTATGTAATGTAGAAGTATCACTTAAATTTTTAATGAAAGTATATAATGAAAAGTGCACAAAACTGCAGACCAGAGGCATCCTGTATCAGCTGAAATACAATTTGACAACTCCCATAGTGTACAGATATTGCTAGTGATTGAAATTAGGGTTGTTTGGCTAAAACCTGAAACAGTGTAATTGGAAGTGATGCCTGCGATCTGCAGTTTTATGCAATTTTCATTGTTACAAAGATTGGGTTCACAATTGTATTAGAGTTTTACCAGGTTTTATTGAACGAATCAGAGTTGGCTGACTTTACACAATTTGTTGAGCCCAAACTAATAAATTGTACATTAGCTTTACTGTGATTTAGTGCATGGTTTATATATAACAAAAGTTCGATTGACAAAATGTGGTAAACCTTAGCATCTTTTGGTTTTTCTGAATCTCAGCTTTCTTTTAGCCTATCCTAAAGTTCACTGGGTTACTGTAAGCATGCATTCTTCCTTTCATCCCAACTTACCCTAACAAGGTTTTTGTGAGGTAAAATGGGAAAGGCATTAATTAGATTACTTTGACCTGTAAGAGACCTGTAGAATCTCAATCTAATGAACAAACGAATAAATAAAGTGCATCACAACTTACTTTGTATTGGAACCAAGGTCATGATATCTAAAAATACGAAGTAAGGCTGAAAGAATTCAGAGATACTTTCTAGAAAACAGCACAGTCCAATATGGACCATGAGTAGATGTCTGCTGTTCCCTGTGGGTGAATATAGGCTATACAATATCTAATCATTATTTTTCTTTAAATCCATTATAGGGACTTGCACAGTCAGATGGGAAAACAGAACAATGAACTGTGTGGTTAGTGTCTTTGCTGTGGCCATAAACTTGTAGCAAAAAATTAAAGATTGTAAACTGGATAAAATAAGTTATCCCAAAGCCTTTTAAATTAGAAATTATGAAATACTCAGAATGTACTGTAAGAATTATTAAATAGATATTATTAAGTCTGAGAAAAAAGGAAATGTGCTTTTAAAAATGTTTCTGCAAAAATGTTTATATTCTAAAGCCTTTTTTCTGTCAGCTGGGAGATGGCTATATATGCTGATTTTAAAAGGCAAACATTTGAGTATGCTATAATTGTATGTTTTGTGTTTCTGTCCTACAAAAAAGAATAATACAATTATTCAAAAACAAAAACATGCTGGATTATCACCAATACTTCACATGTAGGAAATTAGGAGAAATACTTGGAGAATAAATTATTTATAATATATAAGAAGTTGACATATATGTTGCTTGAGTGACAGATCTTAGTGTTTTGGAACAAGATTTTTAACCTGCTTCAGAATTCTTTGAAACTTCTTTATTTCTCAAAATAATGACTGATAAGCTTCAGCTTGACTACAGAAATCTAATTTTGTGTATTCCGAGACAAATCTCTGAAACTGGCACAGAGAGAACTGAACTGGGTCTCTTGAGAACTGAACGAGTGTCATAGAAAGCACACCATTGAAGGATTCAATGGTTGTGGTTTAAACTTATATGGAGAAAAGTTTCCACAAAACAGTAAGTTTCAAAACCTACTATTTAGGTTTTGAAAACCTATTTTAAAAAGTTATGTAGTCAGAAGATATATGCGGTAAATGAACAGAACAATGGTAAACAAATTTTAAGATTTTTTTTTGTTACTTATAGAGTGAAGAATATTCTCAAAACCAAAATATATATATTCTTCTTTACAGGGCATGAATATTTTATAAGTGAATGTAGTTTTCATGCTGGAATTCACCATGATGAAATTCTTAGGACTTATTTATAAAATTGAGAGAATCTTGTATAGTGTTGATATTGATAAATAGTGTACAGCAGCGGGGTGGGGGAGGATGGTTTCTTGCCTGTGTGCCACTTTCACAAATGCAGCTTTGTACATGTATGGGCCACGGAGCAGGGTTTGGGGACCCCTGGTGTATAGTAATGCTGCATCAATAAAAATCATGAAAAAATAGCATTATGATCTTTCAGGCAGATACTCAGGCACAATTATGCAGCTATTATGTTACCTGTTTGCTATATATTTTCAATGCTGATGTTTCTAAGTAAGGGCCATCTTTTCTCCTTTATGTCCTTAAATAGCATTGTGCCTTAATAATTTAAACATATAAAATAATATTTCATATATTGGACTTAAAAGTACACATTCAAGTGTGGAAGCAGGCTTTATATTTTAAAATGCACTTAAATATAAGTATGAGGTTACAGAACAATTAACAATAGTTGTTCTCTGTTCATGTTTAATTGACAGTTAATCTCTTGAACTCAGTAGAGTTCCAAATAACTTTGCTACTTATGTCTGCTTAATAGTTCTGGCATTATTAAAGTAAAGCTTATTTGACAGTAAATTAATTGAAAACCATGAGACTAACTGTTAAGAAAATATGCACAAAATCAGTAGTATTTATGATGCGTCCTAGGTCTAATAAACAGAAAAACATTAAGGCAGTAATTCCATTAAAGGAAAACTTTAAAAAAATTAAGCATTTCTGCAGATATATTTGTGTTTCAGGGAACTAGTATTTCAGCTTTTCATGCACTTACTGTGCTGTTTAGAAGGCATATGAATCTTGAAACCAAACTTTTTTATTTTGGCCTTTTAAAAATATCAGATTTAATGAATATTGTTATAAGATTTTTAGAAATGTTTTTTGACTAGTGCAGTGAACTTGGTTTTATATTAACATTATTTAAAGCATCAGAATCTTAATATTTATAATGAATTTGTTGCAATTTAATACTATTAGCAGTATAGCCCAAATGTTTGTTATATAATCAAAGGTGAACCTTATTTCTGAAATTAGTACATATCTGCAACACAAAAGCCAAAACTATTTCATTGTATATCGTATCACAGTTCTAGATTCATTCTTTTGCTTTTATTCTTGTGATAAGATGTTTTAATCTCTTTCCTGAAGTAGCGAAAGACAATCTGGAAGTTAATATGTTTTATGAAAGCTGCAAATATAATAGACTCCTGTTTGCATCCTGGATGAAATAAAGACTGATTGCTTTCCAGAGGCAGTTATCAGCAAATAAAAGCTCAGCTGTTTTTATTATGTGGTGTATGCAAATGATGGACTTGAAAAAAACCACTATGTTTGGCAAAGTTGAAGGGAAAAGAAAATGAAGGCAGTGGGCAGAATGAAGGTGGGTGGAGGAAGACTACAAGAGGAAGACCTTTGAAGACTACAGCAGTCCTAGATGATAAGCTTCTCTTCATCTGTTGGACTATCTACTTAAATCAGATAATTACACTTTTAGAAATCTTTCACACACACACACACACACACAAACATGACCACCTTTTTTCATAAATGAGAATATTTTGATTGGTTTTCATGTATTTATAATGTATCTAAAAATCAATTTTGCTGTAAACTTACTTTATACAGAGATTCGGAAATTAAAAACTGGCAAGGTTGCACTATAATTATATTGATATTTGTCTTAAAACAGCTACATTTTGTTTTTACTTAAATAAATTATATCTGCCTTAGTTGTCACTTAGGCTTTTTTAATTAAATTAATGACATAATTCTTGATTGGGATGTGACTTTTTCAGATTATTTTAGGCTTTTCTTGATATTTTGGATTCAATCATTTCATAATATTAAGAATTATTCTTTACGTAACATAACTGTTCTAACTTTCTGGGTTTTTTTCCTGCAAATGGCCTTATTGAAGAGGGTGAGGGTTTTACTACAATTCCATAATTGAGTCATTTCACTTCAGATAGGCTTGCATAAGGGAAAACCATCATGTATTCTCTACTCATAAACACAATCTTGCAGGGTAAGTTGGCAAATGGCTCAAAGGATTGTAATTGTTGGAAACATTTTCAGTTTGGCAAACACATGTTCTTCCTTCCTTTCCTTAATATAGACTTTGAGGTGATGAGTCTGGAGCAGACAACTTGGTCTCATCCTTTGGACCTCTGTTGCCCCTTGGCTATTACTGTGAGAAGTGGAAGAGCAGAGGAGCACCTTTCCATTTCCTGTTCTGAAGGTGCTGGCAGTGACAGCTGTCCAGTCAACCTCCAGAATATGATCTCAGTGAAGGCATGGCTATAAAAGATGGGGAGGGGGAGTAAGGAAAAAGAATATAGCTGCTTCTTCCCTCCTTGCTTCTCAGGACTGTCAGGTTTAGGCTGAGTTCATCCACCTGGCACTATTTTCATTCTTTTTTATTCAAAGGAGTCACCAACCATGTGATTCTTACCAATCTTGAAACAAAACAGCATGAATCATTCTGTGATTCAGCTAACCAACAGGAGATGCAACCCTTACTGAGAGTACCCCATTTTCTGAGCTATAGCAGGTCCTGGAATAACAAAAATCACCTCTGCACAATTTGGCAGCAAATTTAAGGGGGTGGGGAATTACAGGGAGTCTTCAACTTACCACCACAAATGAGCCCAAAATTTCTGTTGCTAAAAAAGACATTTGTTAAATGAATTTTGCTCCATTTTACAACCTTTCTTGCCACGTATGTTAAGTGAATCACTTCAGTTGTTAATTTAGCAACAGAGTTGTTAAGTGAATCTGGCTTTCCCATTGACTTCGCTTGTCAGAAGGTCACGAAAGGTGATCACATGACCCCGGGACACTGCAATTGTCATAACTATGAGTCAGTTGCTAAGCAGCTGAATTTTGATTACGTGACCATGGGAATACCGCAATAGTCATAAGAGTAGAAAACAGTCATAAGTCACTTTTTTCAGTGACGTAACTTCAAACGGTCACCAAAAAACTGTTGTAAGTCAAGGACATTCTCCATGTTGCCTTCATACTGTACATTTGCAGGTGTGGGTGTGTGTTTTAGAGGCATCCCATACAATTCCTTTGAGTTGTGATGGTAGCAGTAACCCATAGTTTTGCAGCTTAGTGCTTTCTCCAATAGCTGCAGTTATCACTGATTCATAGTTCAATGTGGCACAATTCCCCAGTATGGATATTCTGAGATGGAAGAAAAAACTAATGGTGGAAATGAAGTAGTAATTCAGTTCACCCTAGGTACCGGGTTCTTCTCCTTCTTCTTCTTCTTCTTCTCCTTCTCCTTCTCCTTCTCCTTCTCCTTCTCCTTCTCCTTCTCCTTCTCCTTCTCCTTCTCCTTCTTCTTCTTCTTCTTCTTCTTGTTGTTGTTGTTGTTGTTGTTGTTATCCTCCAAAAGAGGCACCAGGTCTTTTTTTTAAGTTTTTTATTAATTTTCCAATATTACATTTACATATTTGAAAAGTAGCGTGGCGGTTGAGCACAGTAGTTCCGTTACATTTGAATATCATCAATACAAATCTCCAAGTGTTACAACAGCTAATTCCCCCTCTTTCCCCCATAATATCTACTGTCTCATGTTCGGACCAACACAGTTCTTATTCTATCAATCAAACAGAAAATACCTTTCTAGTATTCATCAATTATCTTCAGTCTATACATACCCTAATTATTTGATATTCCATCTTTTAGATAATAACCTAGTAAGTTTTTCTTAACCAGGTCTTATTTTGGGGGGATATCTTATACCTGGGTTGTATAAACAGGCATAGAATCAAAATTATGTGAAGTATTAGTACTGCTTTATAAAGCCTTAGGTCATAGCTGGAATACTACATCCAATTTTGGTGACCACATTACAAAAAAAGTTGAGACTTTGGAAAAAGTACAAAGAAAAACAACTAAGTTTCTCTCTCTCTCTCTCTCTCTCTCTCTCTCTCTCTCTCTCTCTCTCTCTCTCTCTCTCTCTCTCTCTCTCAGTTTTTAGGAATGTCTCTTCCCACTTTCTTGGAAGCAGAAAGTCACTGATTTAATCTAATACAATGTAATAATAATAGAAATAAGTGCATGGTTTATTTGTTCGCTTATTTATTTAGAACATTTTCAATAAATGTAATGCACTTGAATCATCCTGAACTCCCCCCCCCCATCCCATCACACTCCTGGTCCATGGAAAAATTGTCTTCCATGAAACTGG